AAAAAACGCTTGCTTTTAAAACAAGTTTTATATTTTAAAAGGTAAACTCACCTGAGGTCCCTTCCATGGGGTCGTGGTCTTGGATACTGGCTTGGGAGGGTTAGGAGGGTACTTCAGTCAGGCTGAGAAAAAGATCCTGGCTGTTGGGGAGAACGGAGTGCTGGGTGCTCTCCTCCTCCTCTTCCCCGTCCGCAGAATCCTCAGGTGTAGCTGATGAGATTATCCCCGCCTCGGAATCCACGGTCAGAGGTGGTGTAGTGGTGGCAGCCCCCCCTAGAACTGCATGCAGCTCGGCGTAGAAGCGGCATGTCCACGGCTCTGACCCGGAGCGACCGTTTGCCTCCTTTGTTTTTTGATAGGCTTGTCTGAGCTCCTTGACTTTCACGCGGCACTAATCTGAGTCCCTATTGTGGCCTCTCTCCATCATGCCCTTGGAGATTTTTTCAAAAGTTTTGGCATTTCGTCTTTTCGAACCAAGTTCTGCTAGCACTGAATCCTCTCCCCATATAGCAATCAGATCCGGAACCTCCCGTACGATCCATGCTGGTGCTCTTTTTCGATTATCGGCCTGCATGGTTACCTGTGCTGATGAGCTATCTGTGGTCACCTGTGCTCTCCACGCTGGGCAAACAGGAAATGAAATTCAAATGTTCGCGGGGCTTTTCCTGTCTACCTGGCCAGTGCATCCGAGTTCAGATTGCTGTCCAGAGCGGTCACAATGGTGCACTGTGGGATAGCTCCCGGAGGCCAATACCATCGAATTGCGGCCACACTAACCCCAATTCGAAATGTGGCTCCAGCATGACAATGGGGAGCACAGGCCACTGGCTGCATTGAGGTGGGAGATCACCCGGAAGCCCCCACCTCCCCCAGTACAGGGACTCGGCAGTGAGGCTGCACTTGACACAGTGCAAGGGCTGGGTCTGCCCCAGAAACACTCCAGGGCCCTGCTCCTCTGTGCCAGACACACCAGGATGGCTGGGCAGGCTCAGCCCAGCAGGATCCAGGAGTGGGGTGAGAGATTTTTGTGTGGGGGCAATCTGGGTGTGGGCAGCTCAGTGGAAGATCTGAATGCAGAGGGGCTTGTTGGGGGGTTCCGGATGCAGGGGCAATGGGATTCTGCAGGGGATCCAGGTGATGGTGGTTGGGCTCAGAGGAGGGGTATGGGTGTGGGGAGATGGGGGTCTCGGTGTGGGGGCTCAGTGGGAGGGTCTGGGTGCTGAGGGGGTGGGGCTTGATGGGGTGGGGGTCCACTGCAGCTGGTTGGGGCTCAGTGGGGTGGCAGGCTTGTTGGAAGGGTCCAGGTGTGGGGGGTAGGGCTCTTCAGGATGAGGGTTCAATGGGCCTGCTTAACAGGGGAGCCCCAGCTGCTGCCGAGGGGATGCCATATCCTGCTTTCCACCGCAATTCCCCTATCCCCTTTTCTTCTCCATTACCCTCCCCTCATTCCCCTCCCCCTGCCCTATTCCACCCGCTTCCTTCCCCACTGCCTCTTCCCCCTACCCCGCCCCACCGTGGGCACTCACTGATCCACAGAAAATAGGAAGGCTCCCAGCACACAAAAGGGGAGCACAACTGGCACTAGGACTCAGGAGGCTGCATTCAGTTGCAGAGTCAGTGGTTCCTGAGGCAGCCTCCGAGCTGGTTAGATCTGCATTTGCAGAAATTGGGGCGGGGGCAGTGGATCGTAACCCCATGTGCCTCCCCCACGCCTCACCTCCCTCCCAAAACTGTACATGGTCTCCCCCCCCCCCCCTGGGGGGGGGGGGGGTATCGGGGGGGGGGGGGGGGGGGGGGGGGGAGAGAAGAGCGCCCGTTTTCTGCAGGCGCGCAGTCCCGCAGAATCCCCCCAGGAGTAATCCATATATTGAGACTGAAGTTCCCCTGGCTTCACACATGGAAAGGGAATCATTTCAGAGAAAGCTATCACAGAAGCTCTAGACCTAAAGCTTTCTTCTTAGCAATCTAAATTTAGCTTCCAAGACCTCCCTAGGTTACTGGTACTAATATGTACCATAACCATAGACTGCTCCCCAGCACTCCCTAGAAGCCTGTCTACATGTCTTAGGACTTTTGTCACCTTCACATCCCATAAGAAAGTCACTGAACAGATCTCTCAGTTGCACATACACATCTCTCTATATTTCAATAGATCAAATACTCTACTATCACAGCCTGTCTTGAACTTCCAACTGTGAAGAATGATGCTCTTCCTCTATGTCAGTCAGAAAATAATTCCCAACTAGGTTGCCTTCCATCATGAGATCTTCTGAGTCCCAGTCCAGGGGCGTAACCCCAAGACCATCCCAGTCTGTTCTAAACTCCAATGAGAAGGCAACTATTTTAAAATCATTACAGTAGTAACAGTTATTCTATTGCACCAATATATACCATATAAATTGTTACCAAGTACATATATAGCCCCCATCACCATAGTAGGGGTTTGTCCCAAATATTTAAACATAGAGAAACAAATGTTCCTTCCTTCCTATCCTGCAGGAGCAATAGCTCCATTAGTTTACAGGATTTTGTGTGTGTTAGAACGAGGGGGTGTATTAGAAAGAGTGTATGTGTGTGTATATAAATGGAAAAAAAAGTGAGTTTGCATTTAGTTCTGAAAGTGTGGAGGTCTGGTTTTCTCTCTCAGCATAACAGGAAAAAATAAAAACAAAAAACAAAACACCCAAATGAAAGTTGTCCTAGGCTTTGAATAAATAACTAAAAATGTATTCTATACCACCAGAGTTTGGAGCAAGAAAAGAAAATGCCTCACGTTAACAGTTTTAATCCTTTTTTGCTTTACTTGCCTTTACACATAAGGAATGAAAATTAAATAATTCAATGAATCATTCCATATCAGTGATTACTTTTCACATTTTCACTTCTATAGCTTCCTTGCCTAGTTAGTATCTCCCAGTGATAAACTTTTATATTTTACTAATTAAAAAAAAAAAAATCTGTTAAGTCTCTTTTTAAGAAAGCTGTTCCGACACTAACTAATGAATACCTTTCTTCTGCTTTACACCACCTCCTCCCTGGCTCTGTCACCCAGATTCACTCCCCAGCCTTCTTTATCTTCTCTCCATGGCTCACTAGTCCTATTGATTTGACTGCTTTCCTGGTTCTCAAAAAAGCACTTGGCAGCCCATCAGCTCAATTGCCTCTATGCCACACTCCAACTCTTCTCAGACATGTTAAAGGTCTATAGCAATAGTCCAAGTTGGCAGACGTGGTAAGATTAATCAGATCAGGCCTCCCCTCTGGTAAGCCATAGGAGCTTTGTCAGATGGAGAAATGTCTTCTGTAGCAGACTGACCATCACTTGTCTGGCAACTTTGCCTGCAACCCCCCACATCCTGTACTTAAAAGGGGGCAGGAGAGAAGCATAAAAGCAGCTACCGTTACCCACCCCCTCCAGCTCTGTTGCCCAGCCTAGTTCCCAGGTTCTGATCCTCAGCATGCCTTCACAGTTTTATTGCCTCTCTCCACATCCTGAATTCCATTCCACACCTAAGAGTTTTGTTTACTCTGTTACGAAGAAATAAAAAAATGTTTGACTTCTGGTGGTTTTTTTTTTCCAGAGCACAACAGATCTCCAATCCTGCCTGGGGTTTCTAGGTGCAACCAGAATGAAAATAAATCATGGAACCCTGCTCCACAGTGCAGAGGGGATTGAGGCATCCCCCTGCCTAGCCCTGTCTTTGACATGCCTGCCTACACAATGGAAAAACAACTTTTCTGCTGTGTGTAATGCCTTAGGCTGGGTCTACACTACAGCCGGAGTCCGACCTAAGATACGCAACTTCAGCTACGTGAATACCGTAGCTGAAGTTGCGTATTTTAGGTCGGCTTACCTGGCAGTGAGGACGCGGGAAAGTCGACCGCTGCCGCCGACTCCGCTGCCGCCTCTTGCCGAGGTGGATTTCCGGAGTCGACGGCAGAGCGATCAGGGATCGATTTTACCGCGTCTTCACTAGACGCGGTAAGTCGATCCCCGATAGACCGATTGCTACCCGCCGGATCGGCGGGTAGTGAAGACGTAGCCTTACACATGCCTATGAAGGGGGTCATAAGATTTACAGCACAGCAAGCCTTGTTCCTTGAAGGCTGTTTGAATTAGCTTGCCTGGTGGAAGTCCTATGAAACTGAACGCACTAAGGCTCATGTCTCCTCATGACGTTTCCTAGCAGGCTCAAATATACACTATACACAAGAGGTGACCCCACAAAATCAGATCCATCCACCCTCACCAGTAGGTTCAACAAAATCTCACAGCCAACTGACAGATGTAAAAGAATTAGCACAGGCAATATATTTTCATCTATTGGTAGGATATCACAACTAGAGCAATTTCTATCCCATATCCACATCTATAGACAGACTCAGGAATCAAGAAACTGCCAGTTACCCTGAAACAATTTTCTGCAAAAATGTGAAATCGGACACAAGTAGATAATTAGCCAGATTGCCAACATTAGAGTTGGCAAAAGCAGCAAAAGATTACATTTATCCTCAGTGATATGAACAAATTTAAGGGAGTGTATTTTATAGAAGGAGGATAATACAAGTACTTTGGTAATGACTAAGTCTGACTATATTTCTTACAACCTCTCCTTCGTGCAAAAAAGTTGAGGTATACAGAAAAGAACTTGACACACCCTAGCCATCCCTATACTCATTGTCCGCACTATGACATGAACAGAAATAAAAATGTTTTTGTAGAAGAAATCACAAAACATACAGTAGAAAGCAGGCATTACAGTTAGAATTTTTATTTCTGGCTACTATTGTATTTTTTGTTTTAAAGTAGCATCTTTTGATTAGTGTAGGATACCATGGTTAAAATATTATGAAAATACTACTGAAGATGATTTCTAGGGTTAATGGGTACTGCTGTTTTTAGAAAAGGTAACTGCTCTCTTTAGTTTGACTGGTTACTATTTACAGATTTGTAAATTAAGTTTGTAGAGAACAAGTTTAATTTTTTCATATGGTTTTACCTGACACGCCTCCTCTTTCACTGTCTTTTTCAGCATCTGTAAATCTTCAATTAAAGGCCCATCTGTTTCCATTGCAACAGGACTGTTCAGCACACTGGTGTCACTATATGTTGGGTACTAATAAAATGCAAATTGTTAAAATAGAATCATTGTTAGCAATGATAACTGGCTATTAAGAGTAAATCAGAGCATTTAATTGGCAAGACTTAATTTTAGACTAGCTTCTGTATAATTTATTTTAATGCATCAAGAATTAAATTAATTATGCTCCCAGAACTGAAGTATGATGGAAAAATAAAAACTGAGTCTCCATTACTTTGGTTCTGGCAGAAATACAATATTTAAATATACAATTAAAGTAAAAGGAGCAAAATTATACCAGGAACATGTATGAATCTGAGTTTTAAAGGTGGAAGAATAAAATTCTAAATTGCCAATGCTCAATCTCTATTCTGCTAAATATTTAATATAAATTGTATTAGAGACACTATCAAACGTTTTCTGATCGATATAAAAACAGAAATATGTACTGGTTTTGGTTGCAGGAGCAAGTCTGTATTTGTAAAGACAAAACCCAATATTCAAAAAGACCGCGTTTTCCTATGATATGCTTTCACAATACAATGAAAAATGTAAGTACTTCTCTTTTAGAAATATAAAATAGGAACATACAGTACCTTTGCTGAATAAAAAAGACCTGTCAAATTAAACTTTACAGAACCTAAACTAACATAGAGCACTAGTTTGCAGAGATCCTGGCAATTACAATTTTTATCTTAGATCAAATGATCTATTAGTACTGTTAAGACCAACAAAGAAAAAATTGCTGTGTGTCACATACACAGACCATTTTAAAACCCATTAAGATTTTTCCACAATTATTTTAGTAACTGAATGTAATGGTAACTTAATAGACGTATCTGATTTCACACATAATACAAAGTAGAAAAATGAAGAAAATTAAGTACAAAAAGTTAATTATTTTAAGTCACTATAATTAAAATACCTTACACTTTTTTATTTTTACATAGGGTGCAGAATTAGAAATACCTTTCAACAATAAGTATAAATTAAAAAATTAGGAATATAAAAACAAATACTAGAAGACAGATAACTAGATATAAATTCTGAAAGAAATTTTGGTCATCTGTCAAAAAAAGCACGAAGAGCACGCACAGATATGCTGTATATAGATTCTTCATGTGGCTGAGGGCTTAAGTGTCAAAATTAATTTTTGTTTTTAAATTTAACTTGCTGGTTATATTAATTTTGTCATTCAAACAGACTATGTAAAGTATTGTATACATAGGTTATGCTAATCAGTTTTAGAAAACGTACATAGTTACACAGAATGATTTTTGAACAATAGAAAAAGGTTCACATTTGCACAATTACATTATTTTACTATATCAGTCTGAATAAGTCACAGTGGTTTTTTAGCAAGGCACAACTGTTTATCATTTGTGAGAATAAGTAGGAACATATTTTGAACAAGCGTACTCTTCATTCAACACTTTTGTAACGGTGCCTTTTTAGTAAGGTTAAAATTACTGGCAAAGGTTAATCAAATTTGTCTATGGCACTAATCAAAAAGTACACACAAAAATGTATCTGTTTATCTAAATAGAGCATGTTTTGTTGCACAAAGTTTTAAATTTCTCTGCTTTCACATACATGGTTCTTTATAAAGTTACAAGGCACTTAAGCTCTCACTCAGCTGACCTACTGATAAACTGTCCAATTTTAATTGCTACATATTTTCTATGACCACTTTAGAAAGGATTCCCCCATAATCCCCCCAGAAAAGTCAATGAGAGAAAAAATTTCTAAAATATCTTTTGGTTAGAAAAAGATAGCTGCATTCTTTACTATTCATTAAACTGATACCAAGATCACACCAGTGCAGCCATTGGATCCCCCAACAGTTGTACTCAGCCAGGAATCTTTTGGGTTGTAAGAACTTTATAGGTAAAGGTTTCCTTTTTTGCCAATAGCAAACCTTGACATGATTGAAATCCAGAAATTTGACACTTAAAGGAACAAATAGCAGCACAGGAACACCAAAAGCAATAGAACAAGAATAAATCAGAATAGCTTGTTCACTCTAAAATGTTTTTGTTCTTTCAGAAAAACCTGCCCTTGCAGCTGGCTATCGAAACTACATCTGCTTAAGAACAAGGTGGTTTTCCTTTTAGCTAGGAGCTGGTTTTGATGTGCATGTTCACCCACGAACAGTCCATTACACAATCCAGACGCCAGGTGGATACAACAGACAGGGACATGCACCATTGCTTTAATTCACTGGGCACGGCAGAGTAAAACAATCTGACAGGTCACAGGTCCCAGCTAGACAGAAGTTCTACTTTTAGTAGAAAACACTCCAATTCCCAACATCCCTCTTCTAATTTAGGCTTTTGTTTACATTGAGGTTTTTCAAGAGAAACCAGTATTATAATCTCTGTTTATGCAATTCTGAACAATCACTTTTCAGATCACAATTCTATAGATATGTCTTATAAAGGAAGAAAGGAAAAGGTACTTCAGACCAGTCTTGTCTGAAACCCTTGTTTGCAAAATAAGTACTTGCACAAGAGAAAGGTTACAAATTTTAAAAGCATTTTTATTGCAGATTTTTCATATACAATATTAGTGAAACGGTTTTATTTCCAGGATCAGTCATGTATCTGTTACCCCACTGATATTTAACAAAACCCTAGAATTTTTAACATGAATATGTTAATCTTTTCTAAATACCTGGGGATTTGATTTGGCTAGATTTTCTATTTTAACCCATGCTTCTTCTCTTTCCTTCGATTTTAGCTTCTCTCTGCAAAAAGAAAATTAAAAAACAGAGGTAACAGAAACTCGGTGAATTTATAAGTTACAACTCACATACTATTCTTTAACAGAATAGTGACTAATTGGTTATTTCATCTGTTTAGATGCATCTTCTACCAATTTTTGATGGACAGTTTGCCCATATACATATCTAAACCATACCGCACCGCTAGTTGTGATTCCAGGGCAACATTAAAACAAAAGAGTGACAATTGTCTCGAGAAAATAAGGACACTTTATTACAAAAATAAGCTGACTGGCATTCTCACCTTGTGCACAATATGTTGCTAAAAAATACATGATTACAGCAAAAAAAATCTTCTGCATTTAGACTGGTGTATAGTCTGAAATACTTTTGGATTCTACCTTTATAATTAACAATAAAGGACATTGTTTATTTCCACTGTTCTGATTGCAGTTTATTTAAATTTAAGTAAAATAATGACATCGATAAAAAACTATTTTGAAATTGAATAATGCTTCATTAATGGTGAAATACTTGAGGAAAACAAATCAAGGGAAAGGGTCTAGTTATTGTCTAAATTTGTTTGAGAGATGTACATTCAAAGGTGATTTGCAAAGTGTGTAGGGAGGGGAATGAGCTTGTGCCCTTATGGCTTCCTTGTGGAGTAAAAAAGGCCAAAATGACCATTAAAAAGAAAGGGAAATTTTTTTTCCAGCTTCTCTTCCACCTCAGAAAAATTAGGATTAAGCCTTATTCCTCTTTTTAGCTGACTAACTCCTTGGCCAGAGAACTGGTGTGAAATCCTGGCTCTGCTGAAATCAATGGCAACACTTCAACTGACTTTAGTGGGGCCAGGGTTTCAACATGCAGTGGGAGCTCTCTCAGCATTCAGATGGTAGAGTAGGAGTTCTAAATATTTAAGAGTGTGTCCTCTCACGTGGTTGTGTTAAATCAACACCTCCCTCCTCAAATGAATTTTAATTCATGAGCAAAAATCACTCCTTCACTTGCTCAGGATTCAGTTTCTTGTCTGGACTCTGCTGCACTCAAGAAAAAAAAAAAAAGAATCAAGACTTTATTTTCTAATATAAAAAATAAGTAGAATTGTTTTTACTAGAAAAATAGTACACCAAAAACTCAGTCCTATTTGTCTTTTTTGCTTCTTTCTATTATGTATACATTTTTTTCATCCTTTTGCCAAAATACTTTTAAAATTTGTCTCACACTACATATTCTAGCTCACTTTCACTTAAATTTACAGGAATAACCTATATACCAGCATAAGTACCTATACCCTAGTATAACTGAGGCCACACTAGTTCGGGGTGGAGGGGAGGGATTGCATTGATTTCAAACAAATATAGTTAAAGCAGAACAAAACTATGTGTTGTTAAGCCCTTAAGGACTGCTACAGGAAGAAATCATGATATTTCACTTTGAAACTAAAAACATGATTCTAACCAAGATCTGCTCAACCCCCCAAATATTCCTATGCTGAAACGTTTCACTCTATATGCATCCGAAGAAGTGGGTTGTAGCCCACGAAAGCTTATGCTCTAATAAATTTGTTAGTCTCTAAGGTGCCACAAGTACTCCTGTTCTTTTTGCGGATACAGACTAACACGGCTGCTACTCTGAAAAAAGAACCACCAATAGTTTTCATTTCTACAGTTCCTTTAATCAGGATCTGAAACACTTTACAAGCAAATATTTACGCCTCAAACCACCCCTGTGAACATGCTTAGACTTATTATACCTATGGGGAAGAGGAAGCACAGAGAAATTATGTGACTCAAAGACCATACAAGTCAGTTGCACATTTGGGAACTGTCATAACTAGAAAGGGAAGGGTACAACCCTCCTATATACAATACTATAAAATCCCTCCTGGCCAGAGGCACCAAAATCCTTTTACCTATAAAGGGTTAAGAAGCTCATGTAACCTGGCTGACACCTGACCCAAAGGACCAATAAGGGGACAAGATACTTTCAAATCTTGGGGGGGGAGGGGGGAAGGCTTTTGTTTTTGTGCTCTTTGTTTTGATGGGTGTTTGCTCTTGGGACTAAGAGGGACCGGACATCAACCCATGTTCTCCAAATCTTTCTGAACAAGTCTCTCATATTTCAATTTGTAAGTAATAGCCAGGCAAGACGTATTAATTTCTCTTTGTTTTCTCAACTTGTGACTGTTCCTTTGCTAGAGGGTTTATCTCTGTTTGCTGTAACTTTGAACCTAAGGCTAGAGGGGGTTCCCTCTGGGCTCTTTAAATCTGATTACCTTGTAAAGTTATTTTCCATCCTGATTTTACAGAGATCTTTTACCTTTTCTTTTTAATAAATCCTTCTTTTAAGAACCTGACTGATTTTTCCCATTGTCCAAAGACCCATGGGTTGGGTCTTTGATCACTTCGTAACCAATTGGTTAGGATATTATTCTCAAGCCTTCCCAGAAAAAGGGGTGTAGGGGATTGGGGGGGGATTATTCTCAGCCTGCCCAGGAAAGGTGGGGTAGGGACTTGGGAGATATTTGGGGAAAGGCAGAGCTCCAAGTGGCTCTCCCTAAATGTTTGTTTAACTTGCTTGGTGGTGGCAGCATACCTTTTAACCTAAGCTGGTAGAAATAAGCTTAGGGGGTCTTTCATGCGGGTCCCCACATCTGTACCCTATAGTTCAGAGTGGGGACGGAACCCTGACAGGAATAAAAACCAGAAAAGTTCAAGCTTCCAATCCCCTGCTCTGTTCACCTGACCATACTATACTTATAATAAATAATATATGGAGATATACTTATTTCATAGAACTGGAAGGGACCTTGAAAGGTCATCAAGTCCAGTCCCCTGCCTTCACTAGCAGGACCAATTTTTTTGCCCCAGATCCCTAAATGGCCCCCTCAAGGATTGAACTCACAACCCTGGGTTTAGCAGGCCAATGCTCAAACCACTGAGCTATCCCTCCCCCCAAACACTTCCTTCCTATTTATCAACAATAAATTTGTACCTAGGTTAAAGATGAAATTAAGCAAAATTAAATAGTTCACTTTACATATGGTTGTGAGGAATATGCTACAACATAGCATTAATACAAACATATTGCATTCATCATTGCATTTATGACAAAATACAATAATGCCCTGTACATAAATGCACAGGCACACACTCTACAAAACAATGCTGGAGGATTCTGAAAAGTATTGGGGTGGGGATGTGGGGGACAGATGGCAAATAATGCATCTAAAATAAAAGCAGGATGTAAATTAGTTATCATTCTCTTCTGTTGGACTTTGAGACTGGTGGTGTCACAACAATGATTTTGCAGAAAGATGGCTGCCAGCAGCAGTATTAGGTTTGAACTATTATTTTAAACACTTGTATTTTAAAATACATTTCACAGTTATTGCATGCTGAGAAGGAAAAGAATCTCACCATGTGAATTTTCAGATTTTTGGGCTGAATAAAACGGGCACAACTTTTTTTTTAAAGCGAGAGTAACTTTTCAAAGTAAACAATGAAAATTCTCTGAACAGGTTATTGTAGAATAAGCTGAAATGTTAATATGAAACTTACTTCAGTTTTTCTGCTTTAAATTGTTGTGTGCAGTCGTCAAACAGTTTTTGGTTCATCTCCATGAAGAGTTTCAGAGCATTGTATATCAAGCCATGTATTGTCCTAGAAGTAAAACTTCGGGTTGAAACTCACAGTACTTTAAACTTTGCTCTGCTCAACAGTAGCCAATAACTTATAAAACTAGAAAATTACATTATTTTAGAATACATAAAGACAAAACTAGTTAATGGAAGTTTCTTTTTAGCTACCGTATGGCTAATACAAATTCTAAATCATTAAATGTTCTTCATATACAGTTTACTTACTCTACAGCAGTATTTCCCACTTGTTAATGAAAAATGTTCTTCGGAAGTTCTAATTCTCCTTTATATAATATTGTGCATCATTATACGGTTGCTTTAGAAATTTAAAAGTTGATACAACTTTAATCAAAATAGAACTATTAGAAAAAATTAAAACCGTAATATAGACCTCAGCAGGTGATACATTTATACTGTCAACTGACTGAAATTCTGTAAATATTTCTATACTGATATAGAGGAGTCTGCATAATGTAAAATTTATTCTGAAAGCATAATCACAGCTATACACATATGGTAGAAATATATAAAATACTGAATCACAATAATAATAGGGGTCTTTAAAGCTAGTATTAAACTACTCCTAGGGGAATTCTGCGCCACTGTGCAATGCAGAATTTCGCAGAATTCCCTGTTCCGCCCCCGCAGAATTGGGGCTGCAGAGCTGCTGGCTGCCACTAGGGGCCGCTGGACTCTGCAGAGCCCAGCTTGCAGTGAGCGACGCGCCCAGCATGGCTGGCTAGAGGCTTCATGCTCTACTTGATCCTCATTCTCCAGGCAAAGGGTAAGGAAGGGGAGGGCTGCACCACACAACGTCCCCTGGCAGGACAGTAAAGAATCAGGGGGGAGTAAAGGCTCTAGGGGTGCTGGTGGCTGAGCTCTGGTAGGAGGGGGGTGCTGGTGTCTGGGCCGGGGGGTGCCCTGCAGCTGGGCTCTGGGGGGGGGGGGGGAGACAGGTATTTTTAAATAAATTACCAAAAATAATTGAAACTGGAGTGATTATATTGTGTTATTTTGACAAATAAAATATGCAGAATTTTAAAATGTGTGCAGAATTCCCCCGAGAGTATATAAGCAAACAGATTAGAAACAGCATGAAAAACAACAACAAATAATCTTCACCTGCATTATATAGCGCACACTGCCAGGGAAGTAAAAGTTTACTCTACAGAAATAATCTATTATAAATTACTGATCACCAGATCAGAAAAGAAATCAGTTACATCGTTAATTTGCATTATTCATGTTGGTTGCACAGTGAGCGTGGGGGTGTACTGGATTTCACGACTTCACTCATGCTCAGGACAGAATGAATGGATGGCCATAAAAAGTGAGAAAAACAACTGAAAGTAACCCATATTTACTATTCACCACACAAATCTTTTTTTTAGGATTACGGTTGTTCTTTTAAAAGTAATCCAGATAATATTTTTAAAATCAGTATATCAATGGATTACCTGTATCCAGTTATTGCACACACTTCCCTCAGTATACACTGAAGTTAGTGGGAGATTCATCAGGCATTACTGTAGGCCAACCAATCAGTAGTCCTCACTCCACAGCAATGAGCTATGGAACAATCACACCACCAGCTCTTGCACACTAGCTCAAACAAAACTGTTTTGCAGCTGGAGTAGCTGCAGGATAGAGCTGACTAGGAGTACTTTCATGCTTGAGTATTACACTATTGTGTGGATGGAAAGGGAAAAACAAAGGCGATATGTAGACAGAGAAAGAAAACAGGAGACAAATGCTGAGAAAAGGAAGAAGAAAAAAGAAAGAATAAGATGATTTTAATATGGATATAGTCAAATGATTATCAAAAATATGGGTCAACAAAGTTTAGACGTCAACCATCAAAATTTGTCTTTAGTAACCACTAAACTACTATGCAATACACATTTAATTTACTCTCTATAAATAATCCAAAATAAAATATGGTGTAGGAGAAAAGCTGCACTAAAACATATTTTTACAGGAAAGAGTCCACCCTCTCAAATGCATTTCCTGGGCCCTCTGATAGGTGATCTGACATTTGCCCTCACTCATCTCCTTTCACATTGTTAAGGTCTTGGTAGAAATATTGTGAATACGCATGATGCATCTGATGAAGTGGGCTGTAGCCCACGAAAGCTTATGCTCAAATAAATTTGTTAGTCTCTACAGTGCCACAAGTACTCCTGTTCTTTTTGCGGATACAGACTAACACGGCTGCTACTCTGAAACCATGATTATACTGTAGCTACAACAGGTAATTCACAAACACAAGGCATTTTAACCCTAATTGTTTGAAACTAAAGTTCAGTACTGTTAGATAAGTAACATTAACATTTAGAAAGTCCTTTAAACATATTAACCAATATATTATTTGTACAAGAGTCTCTTACTTGTTCCAATGTGTCTTTGAATTTCGGTACAATGATGGAAACATGATGGGCAAAATCTTTGCTGCATTGTCACTGATTAAACTCATAATGTACTCATTATTCCAGTAGTATAGTGCTCGTTCTGCCACCTGAAAGACATGAAGGTAAGCACACTACTTTATCCATCTTCCAGTTAGCATTTTCATACCATAAAGTTTGCTAAACAGAACTGAAATTAGGAAATAAAATGGCTTGGAGAGAATTGATGATACCAAATATTAAGTACCAAAATATTTTAAAATTACCATCAAGAAATTCAAAGTTATGGTTTACTTTTTAATTTGGGTCAGAACTGTGTAATTTACAAACATATGGCTACAAATCATTCTTAAGAAACATGTGTCCTGTGCCCTCCATTTTATCTATGATGCAGCACATTCACAATTTAAATAGAATCCCCTGTGATCTGTTGGGGTCATGTAGGCAGTGACACTCTCCTTGCAGTTAAAAAAAGGTTCTCAGTCAAGAAAGTCGGTGCCAATTTGGTACTTCAACAGTAGCACTGCAGCACAGCTAAGAAACTTAAGAACTGCTGTGATCCAAGGATCTCTTGATGCCAACTTACAGAAGGCACAGAGGTACATAGGGATACAAGGATCCCATGGGTTCACTAAAGAATATCATGTACGGTCTCTAATGAAAGCTTGTGTCATACTAGTAATCAATCATTGTGAAATGTGTACACAGAACACACATGAAGAGTTATGTATATATTCTAAAAATTATGTTCTCAGAGTTAAGACAGGTCACTCAAGAACAGTGTATCTGGAGACAAACTTCTACAGGCAGGGAGTGGGAGACACTTGTCTCCATGGTGGATCACTGTGTATTGTATGTCATATAGTAGAAATGTATTAGCATTCTAAGTCAAATGTTAACGAAGAGCTGGCAGAGATTTGAGAAGGAAATAAACAGCAGGGGTAACCCTATTTCGGGTAAACATCAAAGATATGTTCTTATGTAATTGGGGGAGCAGAGAGGCACCCTGGAATCCTTCACCAAGGAAGGAAACTGACAGTGGGATTTGCTTAATGAAAAAGGGTTCTCAGCCAGGCTTGGCTGAAAATGCTGGGAAGAACTTTGGTTGAAATAAATTTCTCTAGTCAGAAGAAAAAACGGTTGCTTATCTTTCTGTAACTGCTGTTCTTCGAGATGGGTTGCTCATGTCCATTCCACGTTAGTTGTGCGCATGTCATGTGCACAGTTGCCAGAGATTTCTCTCTCCGTGGTATCCATAGGGCTGGCTTTAGCACCCTCTGGTGCAGCACATTCATGCGCTATTATAAGGGGCAAGGCCGGCCCCGCACCCTCTCAATTCCTTCTTGCCAGATAACTCTGATAGAGTGGCAGGACGCTGGGGGTCGTGGAATAGACATCTCGAAAAACAACAGTTACGGAAAGGTTAGTTACTGGTCTTTTCTTCTTCAAGTGCTTGCTCATGTCCATTCCATGTTAGGTGACTCAAGTGGTAACAAAGGAGGTGGGCTCAGAGTACATGGACATGCGGATTGCAGCACTGCTCTTTTGAACTTGGCATTGTCTCTAGCCTGCTGTGGGATGGCGTAGTGGGAAGAGAAGGTATGCAATGACGACCATGTCGCAGCCCTGCAGATGTCTCAGATTGGGACCTGGGCCAGAAATGCCACTGATGAAGCTTGAGCTCTGGTCGAATGGGCGGTCAAGATGGCAGGAGGTGGTACGCCTGCCTGCTCGTAGCATGTATGAATAAAGGAGGTAATCCAGGATGAGATTCTCTGGGCTGAAACCGGTAGGCCATTCATCCTGTCCGCTATTGCCAAGAAGAGCTGTGTGAATTCACTGAATGGCTTGCTCCTCTCAATGTAGAAGGCCAGGACACTTCTAACGCCGCTCCCTGCATTCCTCTGTGGTTTCGGGAAGAAAACTGGCAGGAAAATAGCCTGGTTACTATGAAGCTGCACGACCACCTTTGGAAGTTGCTGGGTGGGGGCGCAGTTGAACCTTGTTCTTAAATAACATTGCATACAGTGTTTCTGAGATAAGGGCCCTAGTTTCTGAGACCCTTCTGGCTGAGGTAATTGCTACAAGGAAGGCAACCTTCCAGAGAAATACGACAGAGGGTATGATGCTAGCAGCTCGAAAGGAGGGCTAGTGAGTCTGGATAGGACCAGATTAAGACCCACAGTAGAATCGGTTCACACATTTGAGGGTAAAGTCTCTCTACCCCTTTAAGGAAGTGAATGGACATCTCATGCGAGAAGACCGACCTACCATCCACCGAAGGGTGGAAGACAGATTGCCACTAGATGTACCTTGATAGATGTGAGGGCCAGACCCTGTTGCTTAAGATGGAGCAGGTATTCCAGCACAGCTGGAGGGATGATTGAGTCGGCGAGAGACCTCGTTGAGAAGACCACACCAAGAAACGCTTCCATTTGGCTAGGTAAGTAGCTCTAGTGGACAGTACCTAGCAAGATCTGGCGAACTTGCTCTGAACAGGCCTATTCCTCTGGGTTCAACCATGTAGCATCCACGTGGTCAGGTGAAGGGCCCTCAGGTTTGGGTGGAGTAAACCGCCATGGTCTTGTGAGATCAGATCCAGGTGGGGTGGGAGCAACAGCAGCGGTGCTACTGACAGGTCCAGCAGCATGCTGAACCAATGTTGTCGCAGCCACACAGGAGCTATAAGGATAATCCTTGCCTTTTCTCGCTTGACTTTTAGAAGGACCTTGTGTACTAGAAGTGGAGGAAACACATAGAATAGGACCTCTGTCCATAGAAGCAGGAAGGCATCTGAGAACCTGGGCTGTGATCAGTAATGAGAAAAACTGCTGACATTTTTTGTTCTGCCTGGTTGCAAACAGGTCTACCTGGGGAGACCTCCACCTCTGGAAGATGGATCTTGTCACCTCTGGGTGAAGGGACCATTCATGATGAGAGGAAAAAGACCTGCTGACGTGATCTGCGAGGGTATTCCAGGCTCCTGGAAGATGGCAAGCCTTGGAGGTGAACTGAGTGTTTCATACAGAAGTCCCACAGATCAATGGCCTCCTGGCACAGGGTAAAGAAGCGTGCTCCTCCCTCTCTGTTGATGTAAAACATGGCTGCCATATTGTCCATAAGCACTCGCACAACTTTGTCCGTGATCTGGGAAAGGAAAACTTGGCAAGCTAAGTGGACCACTCTGAGCTCTCTGACATTTATGCGTAAGGAGAGCTCTTCCAGGAACCACAGGCCCTGAGTCCTGAGGTGAGCTCCCCAACCTAGATCGGATGCATCTGAAATGAAAGATACTGAAGGCCAGGGGGAGGGGTTTGTAAGAAGGAAAGGCCTGCAGCCACCGATCGGGGATCCTTCACCAGTCAAGGGAGACGAGGACTGGGGCAGGAACTGTAAGCACTGGGCCAACCAAGCATGCAGGGTGTCTGAGGTGTGGCCTTGTGTGCCGTACCATGTAAGTGCACACAGCCATGTGTCCCAAAAGTTTGAGGGAAAATGGGGCTGTCGTTATGGGGTGGGCCTTAACCTTGGATATCAGAGCCGATATTGTCTGGAATCGAGCTTCTGGAAGGAAGGCTCTGGCCTGGGTCGAGTCTAGTACTGCTTGGATAAACGCTATTCTCTGGATGGGAATGAGAGTCGACTTTTGCTCGTTTAACAACGGGCCCAGTGCACGGAAGGTGGCTTGGACCAGGCTGATGCTGTTCTTCAGTTGAGCCTCTGAACGGCACTTGATCAGCCAGTTGTCGGGGTACAGGTAAACTCGGACACCTTGCCTTCTGAAGAAGGCCACTACCACCACCATTCTGTGAAAACCTGAGAGGCTGCTGACAGACCACAGGGGAGGACAGTGAATTGGTAATCGGTTTGGTTTATGATAAATCTGAGGAACCTTCTGTGGCCTTGGAAGATGGAAATGTGGAAATAGGCATATTTCAAGTTGAGAGCAGCATACCATTCAAGTTGGATCCAATGAGGGAATAATGGAGGCCAGGGAGACCATGCAGAACTTCAGTTTCTTGAGAGAACTGTTGCGGCGATGCAGGTCCAGGATGGGTTGAAGACCCCCTTTGGCCTTCAGGATTAGGAAATATTAGGAGTAAAACCCCTTCCCTCTCAAGTTCTGCTGCACCTTTTCCACAGCCCCTACTTGCAGGAGGGATTGGATCTCTTGTGCTAGAGGTTACTTGTGAGAAGGGTCCCTAAAGAGGGATGGGGGGTGGTGGAAGAAAACTGAAGGGTGTAATCTTCCCCTACCGTACTCAGCATGCAGTGGCCTCAGGTGATGAGGGATCATGCCAGGCTGAAGTGGTAGAGTCGGTCTGAAAACAAAAGGGGGGCAGAATCCGATGCGGGAATTGATATAATGCTCTCAGGCGTGCCGTCAAAAGTTCTGTTTTGGGCCTCTTGGATATCTGTGTGACCCTGGTAGGAGGTTGAGGTAGAGTGGGCAGTTGTCTATGCTTGTAACTCCTGCGCCGTTTCTTGAACAGGTCCTGTAAAGGCAGTGGAGCTAAGAATCGGGCCAGTTGCTGGGGCTAAGGACTGAGGCCAGGAGCATCACCTCATGACCACTGAGGAAGTCATTGTTCTGGCTTTGTGCCAGCTGCACCTAGAGCTGCTTGGAGTGAGGCCCTGGCTATGGTTTTCCCTTCCTCTCTCAGGGTGGAAAACTCTTGCCTGGAGTCCTGAGGCAGTGAATCTTTAAACTTTGCCGTAGAGTCCCAAATATTGTAATCATACCTCCCCAGCAAGGCTTGTTGGTTGGAAATATGAAGTTGTAACCCACCCGTTGAATAAATTTTTCTACCAAATAGGTCTAGTTTCTCTAAGTCCTCTTCCTGGGGGTGGGGGGTGGGGAGGGGGAGGAGTAGCACCTGACTGGCCTTGCCTGTCCCTCTCATTGGCCACTGTGACCACAATGGACCCAGGAAGAGGGTGAGAGTACAAGCATTCGTACCCCTTGGCAGGCACATAGTACTTCTTCTCTGCCCTCTTTGAAGTGGGAGGGAAAGAACATGGTGTCTGCCATAAATACCTGACAAGACCCATATCAGCCTTGTTGAGGGGTAGGGCAACCTTTGATGGGCCCTTTTTAGAAGCTCCTGGTGGACTCTAAAGTCATCCTGTGGCACCGCGCCACTTGGTCCCGAGATGACTTCAACTGGGGAGGAGGAGGAAGAGGCCTGAACCTCTTCTTCTTTGGCCCCGATTATGTCCCCCTGCCCTAAGTCTTGCATGTCAGTACTGGGCTTGGAACCAGCATCTAGATCAGGTGCCAGATGTGTGGTGGAGGAGCCCTCCTCTCAGACACTACCAAGTAGGAACGGCTGGACGGTGGTCCTGGTACCGGGGGAAAGCCCCACATTTGGCCGAATGGCCACTAGACCTGTGTAAGCCACTGTCCTCTGGGCCAGGTCCCTGTGGGGGAGCACGCACCAAGATCTGGCGGGACGTAGGATGGGTGGGGGCAGCAGCTCTTAGGCTGAGCGTAAGGTTTCACCTCCAACTCAGAGTCCTTCTGAGGAGGCCAATGGAGTGGGGGAGGGGCGGTACCCCGTCACTTCTGCCAGTTGGTGACGAGGGTCCAGGGATCAGTGCCAGATCAGGGAAGTCCTCATCAATGACATGAGGGCTGGTTTGGCTCTGGTCGGTACCAAAGGCCCTGGAGCTGGGTATGAGCTAGGGGATCCATGCTCCATTCTGCTTCACACACTCGTTGGGAGCCAGTGGTTGACCCATCGGGATTGGCAGTACTGGGAGTGTCAGTAGGTCCCTTCCTGGCCGCAGCAAAGGCCTCCGGGGTGGAAGGCACTGCTATCCCACTAGTGCCACAATGACTTCCAGGTGTCAGCGGGTGGTCCCGCACTGGACTCAACAGCACCCGTGACATGAGCAAGCACTCAAAGAAGAACTGGTTAGTTAAATTTAATCTTCAGAAAGTGTTATAATTTTGTTTTACCTGTAACCATTTGTCTCCAATATTCTCACTATCACTTGAATCTCTGTTCTTTGATGATAAACTCATTCTTGTTTTCACTAAAAATATATCCAAGTGCTGTACGTTAAGTACGGTAATCCTGAGTTGAATCTTACAAGCTGGGACTTACTATTCCTGTGAGTACAGCAGATCTAAAAGCTTTGTGACTGTTTGGTGGATCATGAGCTGAGCACTCCAGAGGGACACTTGGAGGACTTGGGGGTTCGTGTTTGTCTATTGCTAACCTCTACAAAAAAAAGCAAGGCCTGAAACTACTGGGGCCATGCATTTTGTAAATACTCGCGGGGCCAAGGAGAGGCCAAAGTGTAGCACTGTGAATTGGAAGTGACGCTGGCCCACCATAAAACCGAGGAATTTTCTGTGTCCTTGGAAGATGGAAATATGGAAGTAAGCAACTTTCAAGTCGAGAGCAGCGTACCAGTCTCCCGGATCCAGGGAGGGGATGACGGAGGCCAGAGAAGCCATGTGAAACTTCAACTTCTCGAGATATTTGTTGAGTTGCCGCAAGTCCAGAATGGGTCTTAGGCCCACTTTTGCCTTTGGGATTAGGAAATAGGAGTAGAACCCTTTCCCCTTCATTTCCCGAGGGATCTCCTCCACTGCCCCCAGCTGCAGGAGGTTGTCTACCTCCTTAATGAGGAGTTTCACATGAGAAGCATCCCTAAAGAGGGAAGGGGGTTAGGGGTAGTGGTGGCTGAGAATTGGAGGGTGTATCCCACCGATACAATTTCTAGCATCCAGCGATCCGAGGTAACCCGTGACCAGGCTGAACGGTAGGGACGAAGACAGTTGAGGAAAGGATGAGGCGGATCTGGGAAGTTGACTGGGGCATCGCTCTCGAGCACACCCTCAAAATGCATGCTTCTGGCCCCCATGATGTTTCACCGGGCCAGGTTGTGCAGGTGAAGAGGAGGAGGAAGGGTGGCAACAACTAAAACTCGTGTCCTTATTCCTTCTACTTGCAGACCCCTGTCGAGACTGTCAAGGCCTTAGTGCCGGGGGCATCTGGAACTGTTTAGTCACCAACTGAGGCGTATGCAACCCCAGTGAGCCTGAGTGTCCTTCAATCTGTGGAGCTCACATCCATCTGTTCTGCAAAGAGTACAATCCCATCAAATGGTAAATCATGGACAGGCCTGTGGACTGAAGTCAGGAACAGTGCCTCATGGCCATCACTGAGGCGACCACTATGGCTGCTGAATTGGCCACATCCCATGCCATTTGGAGGGAACACCAAGCTGCAATAGTACCCTCCTCAACAAGGGCCCCGAATTTTTGGGCCGCATCCTGGGGCATGGACTCCTTGAACTCATGGAGGGAGTCCCATAAGTTGAAGTTATATCTCCCCAAAAGAGCCTGGTGGTTTGCGACTCTGAACTGGAGACTGGCCGTGGAATACATTTTCCTTCCGAAAATGTCCCGTCTCTTGGCCTCCTTATTTTGGGTGGTGGAATAGATTGCCTTGCTTGTCTGTCTTGTTGGCTGCAGAAACTACCAACGACCTTGGGGGCAGGTGAGCGTACAAGTATTCGAACCCCTTGGCTGGGACGAAATACTTCTTTTCAACCCTCTTGGAGGTGGGTGTAATTGAGGATGGGGTTTGCCAGAAGGCTTTGGCGATCTTTAGAATCCCTTCGTGCACGTGCGGGGGTAGATGCAGAGAGCACAATAAACAAAGTGTCTGATTGCTCCGCCATCTCTTCCACCTCTAGGCCTAAGTTAGTGGCCACCCTTTGGAGCAGGGCTTGGTGCTCCTTAAAATTGTCCAGTGGGCTAATGCGAGAGGGCCCCACCATAGCCTCATCTGTAGAGGATGATGAGGATAGGACCACTGAGGGAGGGCCCGGGGCATCATTCCCCGGGGTAAAAGGGGGTCTTGGGCTGGGCATCTGCCCTTCCGCCCCAGCATCTGCTTGCACTTTGCGCACTAAGCCCAGTGCCATCGGTGCCACCTGATGCTTGTCTGATGCGGTGACCGACGATTGGTGCAAAGGGGGCATCGGCATAACCAGCATGCCCCAGGCATTCCAGTAAGGCCATTGTGCTGGCCACTGGCCCTGCTGCCAGGACGGCATCACAGAGGTGGACGCAGCCTCAGAAGCTCAGTCGCGATGGTGCTGTCTCGGTGAGAGGCTGAACTCCCCTGCCACAACACTCCCAAGAGCCTAGACCATGTTGTGGGTGGAAAGCTGAAGATCCTCAGCTTATGGTCATGAACAGGTACCTCTACTGCGCTGACAGAGAGGCAAGGGGCAGGAAGTTGGGTGCAACAACCACTAAGTTGCCTGGCCCTCTGAGCTCCCTATCACTAAAGTTAGGCATCCAACTATGTGCTATTTTTTCAGCATTTTTAACATACTAAAATCAGTTATTTTAAAGAAGTTTAGTTCATATATATCTAAAACTATCAATTCACTAACAATGTAAAAATCCCAAACTGAAGATCTGGTTTTATGAGTTCCTTGAAGTACAGACCTGGAAGTGTGGACTGGACACACATTTGGCTAGCTGTCTGAAAAGAGGCTCCATAACCTTTACAAATTCAGATGGTTCAATGACATCTAAAATTTCCTCTAGTTCATTTAAAAACATGACTTCTTTTGGACTGTGAGTCTTTGGCCAGTATTTGAGCAGTGCCATCACCACCTGTAAAAAGAACATTTGCAGGAAAAAATTAATGCACAATTTTCATAGCAACATTTTAAATATTTGACTTCCATTGTTGCAGGAATTGTCATTGTAAACAAGTACTTTTGTTACTGTATTAATGAAATATAAGGAGTCTGGTTATTTACCTTATACAGTAACTGGAGTTCTTTGAGATGTTTGATCCCTATGTATATTCCACTCAAGATGCGCATATGTGCCATGTGCCTGAGACCAGAAGTTTTTTCGCTAGCAGTGTCTGTTTGTCCACAGCTACACCTTTGTCCTCCTCATGCTCCAAACTGAGGATTTAACGGGCCTTTCTACTTCCTTCGCTACTGCAAATAAGCTTAGGATAACAATCCAAAACAGAGGGGAGGGAGGGCAGGGACCGCACACCTTGAAGAACTCTAGTTACTGTACAAACACTTTCTTCTTTGAGTGATGGTCTTTATATGTATTCCACTTGAGGTGATTCACAAGAAGGGTGTGAGGACCCTGCTGTACTACAGATTGGAACTGCTCTGCTACGAAGGACGCATCTGCTGTAGAAGCTTGAACCAGGGTATGCACTGAGCCCCACATTGCCACTCTACAGATCTCCATAAGAGGGACATCTCGAAGTGCAGTGGAACCCAGGGCAGAGGGAGGGACTAAGTTCCCCTACAGCCTTACCAGAAAGACTAGAGGGAAGACCCCAAACACAAGGAGACAGAAGGACCATCAGGTCTGGACCAGGGTTGCCGACTTGGTGTGAGGTCTTGGGACTACTTGGTAAAAACTCTGGCTTACCCTGAAACGGGTGAGACTGAAGGTGACCCAGCCTGAGAACTGAGTCACATGACAAAAGAGGAAGTTACTTACATGTAAATGGAGGTTCTTTGAGATGGGTGGTCCCTATCTATATACCACAGTGGCTTATTCACATGCACCATGTGCCCAGAGTCGGAGAATTTAAAAGTAGTGTCTGGTCCATGCATGTGCCCTGGTTTGCCTCATGCCTCCGACCGAGGAAATAAAGGGAGAGGCAAACCGACCGACCACCACTTCAGTTCCTTCTCTAGTTCGAATCAGACAAGATTCAAAGCAGAGGGCGGGTAGTGGAATACAGATAGGGACCACACATCTTGAAGAACCTCCAGTTACAAGTAAGTAACCTCCTCTTCTTCTTTGAGTAATGGCCCTATTGTATTCCACTGTGGGTGACTGACAAGCAGTACATAAGTAGGAGGAAGGCTCAAGGATGAGGACAGCAGGGCTGAACAGAGAACTGTCAATCCAAAGGAGGCATCAGCAGCTGAGTCCTGTACCGGGACTTGCAAACATGTGGATGGAGCTCCACATGGCTCCAGGAGGGGTATGTCCTGAAGAGACACTACATTTGTTGCTTAAGCTCTAGTGGAATGAGCTCGTATCTCTGTAGGGGGAGGGCGGTTCAAGAGCTGACAGAGTAGAATGCAACCAGATATCCATTTGGAAATTCTCTCGGTGAAGATGGCATGCCCCCTGATTCTCTCTGCTAGAGTGACAAACAGTCTCTGGGACTTCCTGACTGGTTTTGATCTCTGCAGGTAAAAGGCCAAGGCTTGTCAAACATCAAGAGAGTGGAGTCTACATTTTTCTGCATATGCGTGCAATATGGGGAAGAATAAAGGTTAGTGAATAAATTGGTTAAGGTGAAATTCCAAAATCACTTTAGGGATAAATTTGGGGCATAGGTGTAAAGAAACGATCTTTGTGGAACAGAGTGTTTGGAGGGTCTGCCATCACTGCTCTGAGTTCACTAACCCTCCTCGCTAATGTGATGGCTACAAGGAAGGCGACCTTCATGGAGAGGAGAAACATGGGGCAAGTAGCTAAAGGGGAGCCTGGTCAGTACCAAAAGAACAAGATTCATGTCCCCTTGGGGCACAATCTTTTGAGGAGTGGGAAAGTTCTTATCAGGCCTTTCCAGAGTCAACTGGCTAGCGAGTGTGTGAAAATAGAGTAGCCTTCAGTAGTGGATGGAATGCACTGATCGCCACTAAGCGGACTTGCAAGGAGCTGAGGGAGAGTCCTGATGTCTTCAAAAGATAGGATCTAGTCTAGAATGAGTGGAATATCCATAGCTTCTGGTAGAATGCCTCTTTGTTGTTTCCAGGACGAGGAGCATTTCCATTTAGCTAGGTAACATTTCCTAGTCGAATCCTTTCTGCTATTGCAGAAGATGTCTCACATGGCTGAAGAGCATGCACGTTCTAGGTATGATGGCTATCCAAATACCACGCCCTGAGGTGGAGTGGTTGTGGATTGGGGTGTTTGATCCTCTCATTGCACTGGGTCAGGAGCTCGGGGAACTAGAACTGTCAGGGCCAGAAAGGGGTGATCAGGATGACTGTCGCCCTGTTCTGCTGGAACTTGTGTAGCACTCATGGCAGAAGCGGCAGCAGAGGGAAGGCATAGTTGAACTGGTCTGACCAGGAAAGGAGAGCATCACCCTGGAAGTGGCAGCCTATGGTTCCTCTGGAGCAACACGTGATGCACTTGTTGGCCTGGGAAGTGAATAGATCTCTTGTTGGGGTTCCCCATCATGTGAAAATGTCATGCAGCACCATGTCATGAAGTTCCCACTTGTGGTCAATTGTAAAATGTCTGGTGAGGGAATCAGAGTGCATTCTGCGTCCCTGGAAGGTAGGCTGCAGATAGGGTCATCTGATTGCTGATGCACCAGTTCCAGAGATTGACTGCTTCTGCACACAGGGAGGCAGATCTCGCTCCCTTGCTTGCTGGTGTAAAAGACCATCCTAGCATTGTCTGACATTATCAGGATGTGGTGAAAGCGAAAGAATGGAAGAAAGGATTCGCACACCTTCCTTACTGCCCATAATTAATTCCAGGACACTGATGTGAATTCTGTACTCTCAAGATGTCCAGGCTCCTTGTGCTGTGTGGTTGCCCATATAGGCTCCCCAACCTAGCAAGGAAACATCCATAATGATTGTCTTGGCCAGCGAAGAGGGGAGAAAGAGAGCCCCACGCATATGTGATGAGGATTTGTCCACCACAGAAGGGAGGATGGTATCTTGGCAGGAACTGTCAGTGTGAGATTCATGGAATGACAGCTTGGGGAGTGAACTGAATGTAGTCATACTCGAAGGTGGAGTCTTGCAAATGGAGTGATGTGCACAAAGCCATGTGGCCGAGTAGGGAGAGACACGTTTTGACTATTACCCAAGGGCTGCTTGCTATGTGAGCTATAATATCATTCATGGTCTGGAAATCGTGAGCAAGTTTGCCCCTGTGGTGATAGAGTTCAAGGTTGCCCCAATGAAGTCCAAAGATTTCATGGGAGTAATACCAGATTTTTTAATGTTTACACTGACTCCCCAGTGAGGAAAAGAGGTGGAGCATCATCGATATTGACGTATAGGCTTTTGGGTGAGATTTGGTGGTGAGGAGCCAGTCGTCCAGGTATGGGAAAGTGAGGAGGCCATGACATCTGATGTGAGCTGCTACCACTGAAAATACCTTGGTAAAGACTATGGGGGCGGTAGCTATTCTGAAGGATAGTACTGGAAATGGTCAGAGCCCACCATAAATCTGAGAAATTGTCTGTGGGCAGGAGCTGTGACCACATGCCATTTTTTCTAAAAATTGAATTATTGCTGCCTACATGACTGTGAAATTTGAGTTTGTGAATGAAGTGGTTGAGGTGATGGAGGTCAAGGATTGGTTTCCACCCAGCCTTCTTCTTGGATATGAGGAAGCAGGTCAAGTAAAACCTGTAACCTAATACTGTGGAGAAACACGCTCTATTGCTCCTTGCTGCTATAAGGAGTTCACCTCCTGAGCGAGAATACTGTCATGAGAGTGGTCCCCAAAGGGGGTTGGGAAGGGAAGTTTTGGATGAGGTAGCATAGCAAACTCAATCATATAGCCAGCACCCACGTGTCCATTGTTATCACGCTCCAGGTATTGAAAAAGAGTGCTAAGCGATACCCGGAGCACTGGAGTCAGGAGGTGTTGGGCTCAGCAATTCACGGCTCTCAGGCTTGGATCAAAAATATTACTGGGTTGCGGGGTGGGATTGGGATGTTGAGACCAGTATGGAAGGAACATGGAAGCAGGACTTTTGAATCTTCTGCCTTTTATGAGCTGGTTTGTAGGGTCTCTGATGGTAGAAGCGTTGAGCTCTATACCTTGATGGGGTTGATTGGAAATGTAACTTCCTCTTAAGGGAAGGTGTGTATACACCCAGTGATCCATGGGTAGCCCTAGAGTCCTTCAGGGTGTATAGGGACTCATCTGTATACTGATTGAAGAGGTGAGATTCATTGAAGGGGAGGTCCTCAATGGTATTCTGGGCCTCCCTGGAGAATGCTGAGGCACAGAGCCAGGACTCCCTTTGCATAAGAATGGTGGTAGCCATGCCTCTGAGGTTGCCTTGACTGCAGATTGGAGGGTGATTCTGGCTATTAACTTTCCTTCCTCTATTAGAGCTTGGAAATGAGAATGATCCTGCTGTGGGAGACTGTTGGCAAAGTCCTCAAACTTAGCATAGTTCAGGAAATCATATTTAGCCAATAGTGCTTGATAGTTGGCTATCGTGAACCGAAAATTGGAGGACAAGAAAACATTCCTCCCCAGTAGATTTACATGTTTATCCTCCTTCCCTGCAGGAGTAGATCTGGGGTGTTGTTGCCTGAACCCTTCTAAAGTGGCCTGAACCACCACCGAATTGGGAGCTGGGTGAGAGAATAAGAATTCTGAACCCTTAGCCAGGACATCTCTCCGTCCTTTTTGGGGTAGGAGTGCAGGTGGCAAGGGTGTACCACATTGTTCTAGCCAGCTCCAATATGGCCTCATTTACAGGGAGGGCTATTCCTATAGGTCTAGAGGTGTGGAAGATGTCAAAGAGCTTGTGCTGGAGTCCCCTGTAGCCTAATCTAACCGTAAAAGATACTTAAAACTACTAAATCTATAAAAGTTATTAAAAACGATGAATTATTTAATATTGTTTT